ACCACCACCACTACTACAACAACAACAACTACTACTAATAATAAGAATAATAGTAATAATAGTTGTAATAACACAAGTAATAATAACAATAATAAGAAGAAAACAAAAAACGTTAATAATAACAGCAATAGTACGAATAATCATAAGAAGAAAATGCAAGTAATAATATCAATAAGAATATAGAAATATGAATAATAGCAATAGAATAATGATAATAATAGTAACAATAACAATAATAAGAATATAATAATAATAATAACAATAATAATAATAACAATAATAATAATAATAACAATAATAATAACAATAATAATAGTAATAGTAATGATAATAGTAATAATAATAGTAATAATGATAGTAGTAATAATAGTAATAATAATAGTAATAATAATAGTAATAATCATAATCGTAATAATAACAATAATAATTAATAGGGTTTAGGGGGTCAGGGATTTAGAGCTTCGACCTGCAACTCGGAAATCCCAACACCTCTCAGCTCCAAAAAACGACAGCAGGAGCACAAACCCCTAAACCCTAAACCCAAAACCCTAAAACCTCGCTACCGGCACCACCCCAGCACAAAGACTCCTGATTTGGGAACTGCTCCATGAATCAAGACCACGGCTGAACTCGATACATGTTAGAACAGGGTTTGGGGATATGTTATACAGTTAAACCATAATTCCAGGAAAAAACTAGAAGTGGCAATAATTGAACCACATGAAGAAGATGTGTCCTGTGCAGAAGGCCGAGCACTTTCTCGGAAAGTCAGCAGCGTCTTGCACAAAGCCTTTGCTTCTGCGCTACATCTGAGAAGATCCCAATTCCTCAGCTCAGGGATGCGTCAGAGTTTAGGGTTTGGGGGCTGCAGATGACAATAGTGGTCAATGTCATGGCTGTTTTCTGCTTCATCACCACTGAATCACCACCTTAACTCCTAAACTATCACTGTTACCAGTTTCACTAGAGACACTGCAGGTGGGAGCCGTCCGCCCCAAGCATCAGCGCTCGAGAACGGTGCTTTTCGGCACGATTGGTGCACAAGTCTCATGTGCCGGAACCGGCCTGAACGCAGCCGAGACTAGTGAGCGATTCACGGACTAGGCAATGCTCTCCGGGAGGAGTGCTCAAGTCCTGTTCTGAATTTTAGAGCCCTGATAGGGTTCCTGCTGGATGCTTTAGCGCGCTTCTACCATTACATCAGGTGTGATTCTGAAATGTGCTGGCCACACACGCATCACCATATCATCGCTGATCTTGCAACCACCAGCAAAGGTGAGGCGCCATGCTGTACTGGAACCTTTTGACAGGCTGTGAGTTGGCATCCGCTCAGGGCGAAGAGTCATCCTTGTCGCTCGAAACTATACATACATTCCTGGGTCGGACTTTGCGGGACTAAATTGTTGACTGATAGTAAGACATTTAAAACCCATTACAGTACTTGATGTCGCCGTGGCTATTCTTGTCGTTGCTATGGCGGTCGCGGTTACGAAAACTGACTGTAGTCGCACATCTTTGCAAGGCAAATCACTGTTTCCTGTAGGGCTCTCGGTAAGACACCCTAAACTGGATCCTGAACAGTGAGATCTTATCTCAGGCTTAATAATAAAAAAGGTGTGCAGACAGGTGTCGGGCCTTTGCTATGGAGTTCCACCCACTTGGCTTGCTGCTTTGCAGCGCCCTCCACATTGCCCCGTACTTCGAAGGGGAGCTTGTTTGTGAACATCTCGAACATGACCTCGTCGTGTTTAGGGTGATGCCCCACCGAAGTCTGGATTCCGAGGGCTCAGAAAAGCCAGGTGATGCCAAAGTTCTTTGTTGCCTACCACAGCAAGTGATAACATTACGAGCAGGACCATCGGAGGCACCTTTCCTATGACCATTCCGAACAAGCAGCGATCAACATCCTACCATATCCTACCACAACAAGCTGCCGGCCCATCAATCAACAGCCTCTTTTGGAACCCGAAAGCCCAAACCCCAAAGCTCCGTAAGTCCTGACTCCCAAAGCCACCATAAACCCTCAAACCCTGCATACCCCATAAACCCGAAGACTCCAACACCCCCAAATCCGTAAGACACGATAAACCCCTGAAAGCCCTTTATGCCAGTAAAACCACATGGACCCTCTATACACCAAGTCCTACTGCCCCTCAAACCCAGAAAGAAAAAGCGCCGAGCAGCACAACCCATGCTCCACACGTCGCTTTTTGGGCCACAGCTGCCAGACCAGACCTCTTGCAACGTGTTATATTTATACATTCGAATTCAGTATATTATTCATATAGTATTGATTATATTATTATTATTATTCTTATTAGTATTGTATTATTGTTATAATAGTGGTAGGCATAGCAAATTGCAATAAGAAGCATAGTAATAGTTAGTATCAATCACTCATTATACATTACTATATTATTGGGTCCAGGAAACGGGTTAAGGGGCCTTGCGCGTTAGGGTGTGGTTTAGGGTTTGAAGTTTCGGGTTTAGAATGGCTAGAGTGGAATACAGGCACCTTATTTATATGAACAAGGCTTTCCTTAGGGCATGTCGCAAGAAATTTAGAACAGGGAGCCCTGAGGAAGCATGTTTTATAATTCTGCATGCTTCTACACTACGGGGTTTTGGGCTTAGCAGCTTTGAGTTGCAGGGTCTGAGTTTCGAGCTATTCCTGCTATAGGTCAGATCTAAACCTTAAGCCGAAAACCAAACAAATTCGAAGCCAGCATCCCTGCACGTGTAAGCCCGAAACCGCTAAACCTCATGGAACCCTCAACCCTTAAACCTCTAAAGCCTTAAACACCAAACCCTAGTTAACCCCCAAATCTGAGTCCATATCACCTTTAAAATCCTCCAACTCCTGCCTGAGTCCTAACCCCCCCAGCCCAGAAAAAAAAACAAAAACAACAACAACAAACAGCCTCAAGCCCTCGAGCACTTCAGCTCCCGAAATTCCGAAACCCAACTCACTCATCGGCTTCAACATGCGCGGGCCCTCTAGGCCAAAAGCTCGACCCACATAAATCCAAAACGCCTAACCCCAATAAAGATACATCCCAAGGCCCGGTAGACACCCTGAAACCCAAAAACCTCATGTCCCATGCCCATGGGAGCCCGCGTCGTAACCTCTATAGAACCCCTAAACCGAAAAAAACATTGCATCAGCCTCATAATTCTCTGACAGCACACTCATAAATCTCATACTAGAACCCTCGAGATGAACCCTTGAAGTCTTAATTAAAGAGACCCAAAGCTTATAAGACCCCTAAAGAAATCCCACAAAACCCTCTTCTGCAAGCTTAAATCCTCAAGGCAGATCAGTACAGCACATGCACCACGAGCGCACCGCGCGCCCGTGCCCCGGGCCGCGAGAGGGCCCGTGGATGGGAGCGACCACTACGACTGATATAGGAGCCAGATTAAGAAACCCTGGGTCTTCAATAGGGTTCACCATATGAATCCTAATATTTTGGGGTTCTGGGGCAGGGGTGTCTTAATAAGGTTTCCTACACAAAGACGACTGAAACGACCAGGACGACACGAGGAGACCACGAGACCGCCAAAATAACACCCAGCAGACCATCCAGAGAACGCCCAGAAGCCAAACAGGAAACCACCCCGGGCGGCACGGCTCGCGGTCACACTAATAGCCTCACCAACTCTCTTTACACCCTACGTCAAAGCCCCATGTAGCATGTACCATACAACCGAAACCCGGTCACAAACTAAAACTCAAACAGCGCACTATCTAGATCCTATCAAACACCGACGACGAAAACACAGCCATCAAACAGCAAGGAATTGGCTCCCTAAATCCTAAACAGCCCCAAAACCGTCCCCTTTGGGGCACCTCCGGAGCCATAGTCGCCGGAGTGCCAGCAACCTTCGAGCCTCTGAGTCCGAAGATGCCCCGGCTGCAGATCCTGAAGACTTGGCTCTGTGGTGGGTCAAAAAGCGGCTCGCTATCTCTCTGCCTATCCATAATGTGATAGAGAGCGAGAGAGACATGGATGGATAGATAGATAGATGGACAGATAGATACATAGATGGATAGACGGATAGATGGATAGACAGATAGACAGATAAATAGATAGGTAGATAGATAGGGTTTGGGGATGCTTGGGTGTTACTTACTGTAGCTGTTCGACCCTCTTTCGTGGGCTCCTGGAGGGTGCAGAATGTTACATAGGACTTGGGGGCTGATAGTGACTGCTAGAATGTAGTTTAGGATCGCAGGCAGCTTGAAGCGCCGGAGTTTCTGGCTTATAGGGGCTTAGAACAGTGTCGGGTTGTAGGCCTGGCGGCGGTTTGGCGGTTTCGAGTTATTTCGGGTTCAGAGCTCAGAGCGTGGGGGAGCTTAGGTTCTTGGGGCTTAGGGCAGCCGAAGACTCGGGCTTCGGCTGAATTTTGGCCCCAAGCGTGGCAGGTCTCTGAATCGGACTGCGAGGTGAGCTCAGCTGCAGGGTAAACCCTAAACCCTACACCCCTTCTTTTGAAGGCAGACCCCTGAAACCCTAGACCCCTAAAACCCCAAACCCCTAACCCTAAACCCTGAACCCCTAAAGCCCTAAACCCAGGGGCTGTTGGGGTTCAGGCTTCTGCGGTTCGGTGGGACGTTCTTCGATGAGCCTCCGCCCTAAAACCTGTGCCGCATGTCTGGGAATTTTAGGGAAGGGTTTAGGGCTTATAAGGTGTATAGGGTTTAGGGTTTATACGGTGTATAGGGTTTAGGGTAAACTCTGAGATGGCATGCTGCTTTCAACCATAATCGTGGTGATTTGTCTGGCATCTGATGCATCTGCTAGCGCATGTGAAATTACGGTGCTATACAGTGCCGCGCGGTCGTGCAGTTGGGGGCCGTGGATGCCCCTGACACAGTCGATACCCTGCATCGCGCGGGGCATTCATGTATGACAGGAGAACAATCATCTTAGTTCATCTCTCTGTACTCCTGACCTGGTTAAGCTCATGGCATTATGGGACGTAAAGAGAACCCCGCTTGCCCCGGAAAGCCGCTGAAATTTCACGACCAGCACTGCAGAATGCAGAGAGAAGAAATCCAGCCAAGGATCTCTGCAATACCCAGGTCGCAAATGACTATATGAGGCAGTCGCCCAAACACCTGCGCTCGGGAGAGCAGGCCCAAGATGGCTCAAGGTCTTCTCCCGTTGGGATTTAGGGTTTAGGGGTTTAGGGCTTAGGGTTTGGGGGTTTAGGGGTACCCAGCGCTGCTGGGAAATGCTTTGACATGGGCGCTGCTTGCAAGCGGCTCTGCGAACGAATTCCTGCTCGCAAACTTATTATTTTTAACGCCCATTTTCACAGGCAAAAACCGCCACGACTTGCGGGCTGAGGTTGTGTTGGCGCGGCGATACTCAAACAAAAACGTTCCCATTCGAGATGTGAGGCTTAGGGTTTTCGGTTAACCCAACATTGCGGATTTCGGCCTAAGAAATTGAATTGGGCGGCCGAGCTCGCTCCCAGGCTTTCTTCAGTGATTGGACAAGCTGCCAGGCGTCGACTATGGAATGCCACCTAAACAGCCGAAGCCCTGTAAAGCTTTCCAAACGAGTCTTTCCAATGTGCATGACAGCTTGCAGGTGACATGATGGAAACCTTGTTTATTGGAGCAGGATTTTGTGTTGCATTGTAGTGGAGTTATACAGGGGCAACTGGGCAATTCAACTAGTGTGACTTGTCCGAGGATGGGCCTCTTCCAGCTGCTTTGCTTTGTGTGTTCCCACCCCTCGGACCCTAAGCCCAGTAGCTTCCGCAGCCCCAGAACAGGCAGCCTTGCTGTTCTCCTTGGTGTCGTGCAAAAGCAGAAGATTCTGGCCCTTCAGGTCCTTGTGCACGACACCCTTGGAGTGAATGTAGACCAAGGCCTGTTGCGCGGGCGACATCAAGCGAAAACGGTGGCAGATGTGAAGGTGGGACGTCACCGCCTAAAGCCTGCTCACTCCAACCATCGCCATGAATCGCACTGGCATCGGCAGCTCAGTAATGCCATGGGCTTCATGGCAATCATAACGCTTGTCGCAACAATTAGAACCTTCATCGCCATCAGTCTCATCATATGCAATTTCCACAACTGCTTCGTGTTGGAGCATGACACTGCAACTTATGCTTGTACTGATATTGTTCACATAGAACTGGTGAAGCCTCAGTTATTGCTCACCGCACTCCTTGTGGCTGAACATAATCGTATGCAGAATGTATGTATGTAAGTAAGTATGTATGTACATAGAAAAAATACATTGAGAAATTGGACGTGTATATAGATATATACACGCCAAGATATACCCAAAGTCCTAGGTCCTAGGTTATCAAGGATCCGGCTCTGGGGCTGGGCCTGTGGCAACAAACCCAGCGCCATTTAGGGTTTGGGGCTTGAGCTTCAGGGCTTGGGGTTTTAAGGTTTAGGGTTTTAGGGTAGGGCCGCATTCAGTTTAGGATTCAGGGTTGCGGGAATAATTCGGGTTTAGGCTTGAGGGCTTCTGTAGGGATGGTCAGGGTGTAAGTTTGTTGGGGTTAGGATTTTCCGTACAGCCGCACATGGGCCCTGTTGTCTCCATGGCTGTATGTTCAGCACAAGTACATGACCCCCAGCTTTAAGGCTCCAACGTGTGGCCCAGTTGTATGTTATAGTATAACATAGCACAGTATAGGGCGACATAGTATAGCAGTATCTCAGAGCATGTTCTGGCTTCTACAAGCATCTGCGCGACTGACTCTGAACATCCACCGGGCTGTGATCGAGCGAAGCCAGGGCTCGCAAATGCCTGAAGCCCGGAAGACTCAACTCCAAACCGACACTGCCTGCCTGGAAGCACTGTCTAATACTGGTCGCTGCCCAAGGTTCCGGCAAGGCTTCTCCTATGCCGGGACCGAGTTGGCCGTGGACATACGATGCATCAGGTGGTACTTCGCTAGCGAAGTCGCAGCATCAGCAACAACAACACCCGCTCGGATTGCAGCATCTACTAGGACCGACTACCACGGTTTTGCACCACCGACATTTTCTCTGCCGCGAGGGCATGGCCGCCATCGTGGTATCGGTAGCGGCAGACCCTCGACTCCGAGACCCTTTAATTACCCAAAATCACCGAAGAAGCAGAAGGAGAAATGGCAGCCCAAACATTGATGCCCAGATCCTGAACCGAAGTTGAACCACCTGAACTTTAATGGCAAAAAAACGCCCACTGCGCTCGTCTGCCTGTCCTTGCCGCCTGCCTTCCCGAACGACCTTGAGGAGCTCTCCCCCATCACAATGCTCCATGACCTTGCGTTGGCTTTTCTAGGGCTTTTCGACTCGTCTTCATAATGGATTAGGAGAGGGGGGGCAGGCTTCGGGCCCTCTCGCCGGTTTGGGGTTTAGGGCATGTCGAGGGCGTAGGGCGCTGTCTAGGGCCTTTCGATGCATCTCCTGTGACTCAACATCATCCTCGGATCCGATCTGCAGGCACCATGCCAACTTCGATTCCCGTGGTGACAAACAACCCCCCGCCTGAGGGCAAAAGTGACACACGTGCACACCAGCACTTGCGGTTTTGTAAGACCGGGACTCGCAGCGAAACAGCACTGAATCGCAACTAGAGGTGAGGCTGGCAATTCTCAGATATCTGTTTGGGGCTACAATGTGGGCAAGCAAGGCAGGCAACGCACGAAGAAAATGACAGCCTGTCGCAACCAAGCAGCAATGTTGATGCAATCGCCCTCTTCGTACCACGAGAAAATTCGCAGAATATGTGGGTGATCCAAATTCTGCCTTAGCAGTGGGCTGTGACCCTGCCTCCACCAGACCAGCTACTGGCAGCTACTGAATATGACGAATATGATCATGGACAGCGAACCAGAACATGACGGCTTCAAAGCACCAAGCCTGCTTCTCAGAACCAGCACGTGCATTGTGCATGTTGACATTTGTAGAATTGGGAAAGGAGCTGCTTCGTGATTGCATGAAAAAGGACTTTTGCGACTACGAATCTTGACAGCCAGTGCTGCGAACCACGGTGGAATGCGTCTGTTGGTATCACAACAACGGCTTGGCGAGTGTTGCTTGCTATTAGTATCCTTCCAGCAGCAGTGGCCGCAAGCATTGGCATATTTCCGGCCCAGGTTCAGGATTTTCGCCTCCATTTTGAGGCGCTCGTCGTCCCAGCCGTCCGGTCGGACTACAGATTTGAGGACTTTGCTTTGTCCAGTGACCTTGTCCTTCAAGGAAGCGGGATGCTTCGGTACGACATGATTGCAAAATACTGTATCGATAGTAAGAGGTAAAGAGGGCAGGGTGCAGATTGGTACCGGTAAAGATGACTAGACTTCGGATTTTGCTCAATGGAAATGTGCCAGTACGGGTGCCATGCTTCCACCAATCTAGGCAAAGCACGTTCAGTGGGCCTACAGCTATGGATCGAGGTTCAACGTCATCGTGTCTTATCGGGGGCTTCGTTCGAAAATATTTGTAACACAGGTACATACATAAACATGCATACATATAATGTGTGTGTATATATATATATATGCACGGATGCTGATCGTAGTGCATATAGTATGTCACAGGCTCGGTGTAACCTCGCACTCCGACACCACGGCTCAGTCGAATAACGAGTTGATGAATCAGATCACCGTATCTCTAAAGGGCTTGTGGGTTTCGTGGTTTCGAGCTGCGTGCTTTCCTTCTAACAAAATAGTAAGGCATTCAGGACTGATAATGTCGGGGCCTTCATAATCAGACTAGGGTGTTGCGGTCGAGTCTACAACATATTGAATCAGAGGAACAAGACTACTACTTTCTACTTATGACTCTTCTGACCCTTTTTCCACAGGCTTGAACTGAGCTCGCCCGGCCAGACCCTAAACCCTAAACTCAATTCCAGCCTGCTGGGTCATTTGGAGCCCAAGATTTCGGACTTCTAGGGCAACAGGGGGAACTTCAAGATCGATCGCACGCGCGGAAAAAGGGCTGGCTAATGCAGGCGCCTGAATGATTCGTAAGGGGTTGGGGCGGCATCTTAGACAAGAAATAGGTAAGGACTGTAAGTTAAGGAATAATAGAGGAAATGTTGCCCTGATTGAGACAGAAGACCCCTGGAATGCTGAATCGCAGCATTGCCAGGAGCTGTTTTGGCTGTGAAACACTCAAAACATCTCCCCTGAACCCCAAACCCCTAAAAAATCCCCAAACCATCCCGAACCCACCAAACCGCGTCCTGAACCTTGTGTACCATTCCATAGGCTCCCTGACCTAGCAGCTCCTCGGAACACAGTGGGGGTCGGGGGATGAGCGCCCGGAGGTCGTCGCCGCTGCTTTAAGCGAATCATGAGCTGGGTTTTTCCAGAGAATGGATGGTAGGGAGGTTGGAAAGTTTTGGAGGGAGTAGGGGGAAACATCAAGCATCAACAACCTATGAGCGGCACGGAACCAGCACAGGCAGCTCCGTATGCGTCTGAGTATGTGTGTTATGCGCGTATGTGAATGCGCACATAATCAGTATACACATGCTGCTGTGTACATGTACTTATGTCTACATTTAAGTGCTTGTGCGCACTGTGTACATGCATGCACGCGGACTGAGGCAGCCATAGCTATTTTGCGTGCCTGCTCTCCTCCTCACCTATTGCTGGCATGCACTGATGGGTGTTGTTGAACTGACAGATTATGTTCAAGCACGTAAACACACTTTTCCATGTCAAGGTAGCGGGGGCCCTACTTAGACAGGCGGATGTACGTCTTGCCTAAACCCTAAACCCCGAACCTTAAACCCGAAACTCCTAAACCCTAAACCTCAAATCCTAGAAACCCTAAACCCAAAGGCCTTCGGTTCACATCTCTGGCACCCAAGGCGCGGCATCGTCGAATTCGTCCTCGGCATGGCCCCGGCCTCCACTGACCTGAGAGGAAATCACACCTCGGGTTCCTCTAAAGAGGCTTTCAAACCGGGGCTGTAAAAGGGGAGGTAGAATCTGATTGCAGAATGGGCTTAGGGTTTAGGGTTTAGTGCTTTATTGGGTTCTACTGTAGCAGGGTTTTATGGTAAGAGTATAGTATATACAGGGCTTTTTGCGGCCACCGTTGAATTTGGGTAGGTTTTCATCGAGAACACTCAATTCAATACATTATGCAGTAGGGAAGGGTAGGGCAGGGCTCTGGTCAGTGTAGTTTTTCTAAGTGTCTCTGGGAGGAAGTCAGCAAAATGTGCTGGTTCACATGCTGGCTACCAACAGCAACAGAAATCATCTATGTCAGCCCTTCATATCTCTACAAGAAATGGCACCATCTAACATGGCAACATGCTAGGCAATAGTATGCACAAACAGTTCTTGGCTCAAACATGTCAGCTTTCCGCACAAGAACAACAGGACAGCAAACAGGTAGTTGTGTGCGCATGGACTCGTGTCGAAAAGAAACAAAATGCTGAGCGAGAGGCTAGAGTACTCCGAAGGACCGAAGGGCCACACATGTCGTTCACTGTGGCCTTCTTGGCCGCCCCTTTAAACATCGTGGGATCCTCCAGCTTAGCTGGTCTCCCAAGAGTTTGGTCTGCCTAGCACAGGTACAAGGGGTCGACCTGGGGCAAAGCCCCATGGTACATCTTGAGCCATCGCAGCTGGCACAGGTCGGACAGTTCAGATCACTACGATCATTTGCTTGGCTCCGGGCCCCGAAATCCTCAGAGCTTTCGGCAACCAGTGGCGCAGAAAGTGAAACCACTTCTACGGAACAGTTCTGTTCGTGGGTCGGGGGTGTTGGAAGCCGAGCTGCAAGTGCCTTAGCTGGTAACGGCTCTCAATCAAAACATCAGATATTTAGAAGAATGGAGGTCTAGGAAACTGAAGCCCGAAGCGAAAGCTCGGAGCTCAGCTCACGTGCCACGTGGCCCTAGGCCCCAGCACAATCTCTCCCTAAACCCAAAACATCACGGCATCGACACATCCACTCGCCTGTGGCCAAAGAGGCTGCAACAGCAGCAAAGAGTTGCGATGCAAATGACGGCCTCCGGGACATGCGAAGGCGACTACTTGAAGAACCAGGGGCTTAGTAAGTAGGTTTGGGGTTCATTTCGGCTTAGAGTTAAGCTAGTCTGCACAGCAGGGTACACTTGCGCTTAGAAGTATTGGTCTCTTGTGGGTTTTGATCATGAAATTGGGACGGAGTAAGAACCTGCTTACTCATTCCTTTGTGTCTCCGAATGGGCTTGAGACTCGTCGCTGTCGGGTTCAGGCACCCGGATTTCTAGTTTACTTGCTCAGTTTTAATCTGTCGCAAATACTTTGGCTTAACGGATAGGACCCGGGATTCAGAATGTGCACGAATACTACTACCTCGGCCCGTATTCGCCGTTGAAGCCGCGCCATCAAGAATCCAAGATCAGCTGCTCTCATTTTAGGTGTCGTGCGTATGTGGCGATGATGCCGACCACCATTACAGCAGCATGACGGCGACAGCCGAAGAAGCAGTAGGCCAGCTAAACCCTAAGACACAGAAGCCCAGAAATCAAAACAAAAGCATCAGTACGAGCGCACCCAGGATTCATAGGACTTGGACAAGGAGCTGCAAGGATGATGACCGTGTGACGGCTCCACCTGGATCTGTGGGTTCCGCTGCGACTACCGTTTGAGGTACTGGCTAGAGGGGTTTAGGGTTTAGGGTGTATGATGGACGCCCATGTGTGAGAAAGGCGGAATCTTTCATTATGAAAGAAGATTTTTTCATGAGGGGTCTGCATTAGTTGTCGCTGAGGCTTTGGTGTTGAGAGCTCTTCCACAATAGAAAGTTCAGCGATGCCTTGAGAGAGTATCTTCAATGGGTACCGCCTTAAGCAAAAACGGTGCACTCAGCGCTCCCTGAACAAAAGTGCATCCCGAGCAGATTCGTTGGGCAGTTGGCGGCAAGCGATGCTCCCATTTGCTGGCTTCAGCTGCAAGCTAAGTCTAAGTGCAAGCCATGGCTTACTGAATGCCAGTGTCCGTTTCAGACAAGGCGCGCCCAGCCCATCAACCTGAGCGGTGTTGCAGTGACTCAAGGTGCTTGCTGAGTATGTTCTCCGCAGCTCGATGCAACATGCTAGGCTCTTCCCACGTTTACTAAACCCTCCCCCAATATTAAAACTGCCGCCCCCCCGGAGTTTTGCGGTTTCGGGCCCACAATTGAAAGTCAATTAAAAACCTTAGGGGGGGCCTAGAATTGTATGAGTTTTAATAAGAGCCAAGACATAGTAGGACGAAACCGAAAGGACCAGGGCTTTGGGGTTTAGGGGCTTAGGGCTCAGGGCTTAGGGTTTTAGGGCTCAAGGCTTTGGGGGTCAAGGCTGAAGGCTTAGAGCGTAAGGCTCAAGGCTGTAGGGCTCAGGGCTGCGGGCTTAGGGTGCTAGGGCTCACGGCTGTAATTAGGGCTCTTAAGGCTCAGGG